ACATTTGCTGTGCTAGAAAGTCCAAGGGACAAATTTGTGCCAATTAAGGTCTCCCCTTTAACTAGGAGGAACAATTGATGTTGTGCTTGTAGCAGAGTGTGGTGAGAGAGGGGGTTTCCAAAGGAAATCTTGGTGCATGTGGGCCAGAGGCCCCTGTGCTGAGGCTCCCTCCAGGCTGGCTCCAGCCCCTCAGGGTGCCCAGGAAGCAGGCTGCCTGCAGCCCAGTGCAGCCTCCTTAGCCCTGGGGCTAGCCAGGGAAGAGCCATGGATGAGGCTGAGCCCTGCTCCCATGTGGGATGCCATGGGACAGGGCCCACTGGGATTTGCCCCTCCAGCTACCAAGTGTGTGCAGAGAAACTGCAAGGAGAGGGTGAGCTCTGTCAGTTGGACCCCCTGTGCACAGGGAGCCCACTCCTGGGGTGGCTGTGCCAGCTCCCGCAGGGACATCCAGCCCTGGGAACCTGGAGCGAGTAGAAAGCACAACTTTGCAAATGTGCCCGAGGCAAATGCAAGGAGAACTGGGGTGTGAAAAAAAAAGAATGTTTATTTGTAGAAGAAAAGGAACAAGAATGAACTACACAACATATTTACATTGTAAGAATATTGGTAACAACAACAATGAACTATAGAACCTATTTTCCTAAGAACATATCTAAGAAAACTACATGAAACGTATTTACAGAACACTTAAGCAAACCCTAAAACATCTATCATGAACACAACAACTGTAAAACGTATATACAGCAGGGTGGCATCTGTGTCCGGGATGTGCCTCAGTCCTGGAAGAAAAACAAGTAGCACGGTCAGTGCAGTCAGGCATGGAGGGGTGTTCCATGTGCTGCCAGGCTTGGGACACTGGCACAGTGAGACTCTGCTGCCAGAAGTGAGGCTGGCTGGGGCTGGGGGCTGTGGCCCAGGCACTGGAACAGGGCTTGTGTGGCCCAAAGCAAGCCCAGGCCAGGCCAGGGATGGCCAGCAGAATCCAGTGCATGGGCTAGCGTGTCCCTGAGCAGGGAGTGCCCAGCCCAGCCCCGGGCTGGCAGCAGGGGACCCACTCTGCCTGTGGGGAGCACCTGCCTGTTCTGCTGCTGGCATGGGTCTTCATCCCAACACCATGTCCTCCTCCTCGTCTTCTACATCAATGTGCTCTTCCATGTCCACCTCCATTTCTTCCTCTGTCTCATCTACCTCCATCTCTTCCTCTCCAGTATCCTCCCCGTCCACTTCCATGTCCTCTTCTGTATCCGTCTGTGTATCCACATCCATCTCTTCCTCCATCTCTTTCACATCCACCTCCATCTCCTCCTTTGTGTCTGTGACAGCCTGCAGAGGTAGCAAAATCTCCCAGTGGGGTCTCTTTCTCACACTATCCCACAGAGCTCCAGCCCAGCCAGGCAGCTGCGGGGTGTCCACCTCCGTGGAATAGTACCATACCTTCTTTGGAGCAAATGCAGACATCCTGCAGGGATGGAGAGCAAAATGCACTCAACGGGGAGCTTTTGGGACTGCTGGGGGTATGAGGGAGCAGGTGACAACAAGGTGACAGGGGTAGGCCTGGAGCAGGGTGAAGAGCGTGCTGACACAAGGAGCCAAGGGTTGTGTTGTGGCCGTTGCTGGATGCTGGAAGTTCTAGCTGGAGCGTGCACTGTGACATCAGTGCCAGGAGCCCTGGCCCAGGCTGAAGTGGACAAGGGAGATGCTAGAATGATGGAATCCCTGGGTGCTTGGGCTTGGAAGGGACCCTAAAGACCATCTTGTTCCAAGCTGAGCAATCTTCCCCCAGAACAGGTTGCTCAGAGCCCTGCTCCCAGCTGGCCTTGGATGTTGCCAAGGATGGAGCATCCCCAGCCTCTGTGCCCAGCCTGGGCCAGTGGCCCAGCAGCCTGAGTGGAAAAGAGCAGCTGCATTAGATCCAACTTCAATCTCACTCCTGCAGTTGAAAGCCTTCTCCTCTCTGTGCCCATCTTTCCTAGAGCTGCAGGGAGGCCTCCCCAGCCCCTTCTCTTTCCAGGCTGAGCATCCCCAGCCCCACATGGACAGCACTCAGATCCGTGGGGGTCGAGGCTAAAGGGTGGCAAACGGCATCAGGAAGTGAGAGATGGAAGCTTTTGGAGATGGAAGGTTTGCCTCTAAATGGAGAAAAGTAATGAAAGTGGAGGGGAAAATGGTGGGACTCTGGCTCTGTTCTAACTGGGGAAGATTTTCTTCTCTTCTTTTCTGTCATGCTGCCCCAAGTTTTGTTGTTTGAAAGGAGGTTTGGCAAAATATTCATTGTCTTCTCCATTAATAAAAAAATCCCACAAAATTCCAGTAAAATCTGACAAAATTCCTACAAAAATCCCACAAAATTCTCTAAATTTTGTTAAAATCCCACAAATTGCAGAAAAAATTCATGAAATTGCAGAAAAATATCCACAAAATTCCAGAAGATTCCATAAAAATTAATGAAAAATCTCATAATTCTTTAATTTTTCTTTAAATCCCATAAAATTCTAGAAAAAATGCACAAAATTCCACAAAAAACCAACAAAATTCCCTAAATCTCCTCAATTTCCCACAACATCCAAGAAAAATCCCTCAAAATTCTTGAAATCTCCTCAAAATCCCACAAAATTTCAGAAAATTCCACAAAATTCCTGAAAATGTTCAAAAAATTCCACAAATATTCCACAAAATTCTACAAAAGACTTTAAGTAAATTCTCTAAATTACCTCATATTCCCGCAAAATTCCAGAAAAGCTCCACAAAATTCTCTAGATCTACTCAAAATCCCAGCAAATTCCAGAACTATACCACAAAATCTCCTCCAGTTTCCACGGATAGCCAGAAATAACCCACAAAATTCCAGAAAAAAATCCACCAAATTGCAGAAAAATCCTTCAAAGTTCCAGAAAAATCCCACAAAAATCTTACTAAATTCCCCAAATCTTTACAAAATCCCACAAAATTTCAGAAAAATCTCACAATTTCCCAAATCGCCTCAAAATTCCCTACATTTTCTCAAAATTGCATAAAATTAAAAAAAACCCTAGAAAATTCCAATAGAATTTCACAAAAATATTTAAATTTTCTCAAAATTCCACAAAATTCCAGAAAAATTCTGCAAAAATCCCACAAAAGTCCACAAAAATCCAGGAAAATGTCACAGAATTCCTTAAGTCTCTTCAAAATTCTACAAAATTGCACAAAAAATGTTCAAAATTCCACAAAAAAATCCACAAAATCAAGTAAAATCTGATAAAATTACACAAAAATCTCACAGAATTCAAGACAAATTCCACAAAATTGCAGTAAAAATTGATAAAATGACACAAAAATCCCAATAATTCTACGTAAAATTCTACAAAAATCCCACAGAATTCTTCAAATTATCATAAAATCTACAAAAATCCAGAAAAAATCCCACAAAATTCCCTAAATCTACTCAAAATTCCACCAAATTCCACAAAACTATACCACAAAATCTCCTCCAGTTTCCACAGATGGCCAGAAATAACCCACAAAGTTTCAGAGAACTCACAAAATTCCTGAAAACTTTCAAAAAATTCCACAAATAATCCACAAAATTCTACACAAAAGCTTAACTAAATTCTCTAACGTACCTCAAATTCCCACAAAATTCCACAAAAACTGGTCAAAATTCCCTAAATCTACTCAAAATCCCACCAAATTCCAGAACTATACCACAAAATCTCCTCCAGTTTTCAAAGACAGCCAGAAATAACCCTCAAAATTCCAGAAAAAATCCACAAAATTTCAGAAAAATCCCACGGTTTCCCAAATCACTTCAAAATTCCTCGATATTCCCTAAATTTTCTCAAAATTGCATAAAATTCAAAAAAACTCTACAAAATTCCACAAGAACTCCACAAAAATATTTAAATTTTCTCAAAATTCCAGAAAAATTCCACAAAAATCCCACAAAAGTCCACAAAAATCCAGGAAAATCTCACAGAATTCTTTAAGTCTCTTCAAAATCCTACAAAATTCCACAAAAAATATTCAAAATTCCACCAAAATTCACAAAACTCCAGTAAAATCTGATAAAATTCCACAAAAATCTCACAGAATTCAAGAAAAATTCCACAAATTTGCAGTAAAATCTGATAAAATGACACAAAAATCCCAAGAATTCCACAAAATCCCACGTAATTCTACAAAAATGCCACAGAATTCTTCAAATTTTCATAAAATCTACAAAAATCCACAAAAAATCCCACAAAATACTTTACATTTTCTCAATATCCCACAAAATTCCAGAAAAAATCCACAAAATTCCATCAAAATCCAAAATAATTCCAGAGAAATTCCAGAAACTTCCACACAAATCCCACAAAATTTCCTACATTTTCTCAAAATCCCACGTCTGATGGGTTGACATTTCAGGAAACAA